GATCTTATTAAATATCTGTGTAGATTCTGACTTCCAATTTTCATTAGTAAATATATATATATGTTTTATCTTAATTATATAATAAAAAATAATCATTTTTTATTTTTTATTTTATCTTTTTTACATGTCATGTAACTCGAATTTAAAATTTTTTACTTTTAATGAAAAAATATAATCACTAAATTATTTAATTCATTGACATTTAGTAAATATATATATAGCAATTTATTTTATGAGGAGATAACTAATTTGTTTATTTTGATATTGAGTTTTAGGAGAATAAATTGTTGGAGATTGTCCCAACAACAATGATCCTGCAGAACCTTGACTTTTTTTGTTATTAATTATAAAGCGAGAGTTTTAACTAACTGGATATCGTGGACGACTAAACGAAGGTACATTGTCTTCCACCGGAAATTTCTGGTACAATATATTAATATAATAGAGTCAAACATGCACTGCGTTATACACCAATTGGCAACACCGCAATTGCATCGCATTTCCGCTATCACAGAAAATCTTTCTCCATACCTAGTACGTATTGTCACGAAGGAGATTAAGTCAAATAACAAGTGCTAGAATTTAATGCTTTGGTCAATGGAAAATTTATGCAACCATCCACCATTGTAGAAAGGTTGATAACTACTGAACGTGCCATCTGCCTTTCCTTCTTCACAGTTCACACCATGGTCCGCACTTACAGTTGCATTGTTCACATGAAAGTAATCTTGAATTATAAATATTGTATAATTTTTTATATTATTTAATAATTAATTTTTTTATTTTATTCAAATTGTAATATTGTTTAATGATATAAAAATTATAAATTAAAAGAGTAATGATTTGCGGAACGATTTTGAAGAACGATTTTGGGGGACGACAAGTGAAAGCAAGGTCAAATTGGTAATTGTTGTTGGAACTGCTCACTTGTCGTCTTCCGTTTCGTCCCTCAAAATCGTCCCACAGATCATTACTCTATAAATATATTGTCCACGTATCATTATCTCACTTTCAAGGTATTTGAAAAATATACGGCTCATGTTAATTATTTTTTTATTCTTTGAGATTAATTTTTTTATAAATAATTTTAAAAGTATATCTCTCATATGAAGTTGATATATTTAAAAAAATAATCATTTTTTTAAATATCAATTTTAAAATTTAAATCATAAATTTATTTTATAAAACAATACTTATCGACTAGTTATTCATATAAAGACAACTACTCTTTTAGTAGTGAATTGGAATTCCTCCAATGAAAACTGTGGGTAATAAAGAGATGAAAAGGAAAGTATAGGTCCCAAATATTGAAATATATGAGATTAGCAATAGGAGCTAATTACATGCCACTCGTTTGTTTGTTGGGAATGGTAGTCATCAATTTTGTAGTTATGTGCACCGATTTTCTGGTTTTTTTTTTTTTTTTTTTTTCCAAGCTGATACTTTTTTATTGGAATATATATTTTCTATGTACTAGATGAACAAGTAATTCGAGCTTGTAAAGTAAAAAGAGATGAAAAAGAAAGTATAAATTTAAATTTCTATTAAAATTATTTTATATTAATAACAAAATCACTTTAATTTTTAAATATTCACTTGTTAAAGTATTTTCGTTTTGTTATGAATCATCAGATGTACTCAATAGATGGTTTTTGAGCACCATGAAAGAAACTGTTATGAACGTGTTGATTCCCTTTTTATTTTCGTTGGGTTAAATTACAGAAATATTTTTCTCATTATAAAAAGGTAGGTATGGAACACGAGGTGCATGCCAAAAGCATTGACTTAAATTTGGTTTTCAACAGATTATTATTATTATTATTATTTTTGAAAATACGCAACGTGAGGTATGAATTTTGACCATACACAAGGCATACTTTCTCCATTTTTTTTTAATTCCATATTTCTTTAATTTAATATTAATTATATGTTTGAATTAAGAAAAATATAAAAAAAAAGAGTGAAAGTAATAAAAAATTATTTAATTAATCAAATTATAATATTATAATATTATAATTTGATTAATTAAATAATTTTGTATTACTTTCACTTTAAATATATAATAAATGTTGTTTAATTCTTTTTTATAGAATTTTAGATAATAAATTTGAAATTCAAGTTTTTTTAAGTTGGGTTGAATTGTTAAAATATTATTAATAAAATAATATTAAAATTTTTTATTAAAAATATTGTAGTAAATTTATAAGTTAAATTATATTTTAACTATGTAATTTCACCTAAAAATATACTTTTTGGATAATATTTTTTTATAAAATATGTAAAATAATTTAATTTTTTATACACAATTTTTAATTTTGATTTTCATAACTACACTAATATGTAAAAACATACTCTTCATGTCTAAGAAAAATAGAGGTTTCTTATTTATGTTTGCATTAAGGATTTAATAACAATTTTTATTTTGATTTATTTTACCTTTTAAAAAAATAAAGAATTTTTCTAATAAGATAAATAATTAAAATTTTAAATAATA